ATGCCACTTGTAGCAGAGGCGGCCCATTATAAACATTATACTCAGCATCTACATCTACTGGAAACTGTGTGCACACAGGTAAACCAACTTGGAAACATTATAATGTAATTCTCAGGCATAATAAGTTATAAACAAAATTATCCATTTTTTTAAAATTTTTGTTTAATTGTATTTAAATTTTGACCATATTTTTTTCCAGCTACCAGTTATAGCCAAAGGAGTCGGAAAGAATCAATTCAAAAGACATTTTGAGCTTTTCATTGACTCAATCTTTTACAGTCTGGTAAGAACTGCTATTAGTTTTGTTCTCAAGTAGTTCCTACATAGTGGCCCTTTGATTGGTGCTCTTGAATCTGAATCATGACATCTTGTAAAAGTTAGCTGTATTTCCTATATTTGTATCTTACTGAAAAAGTATGGCATTTAAAGATTCTTTGTACATGTGAAACTTAGGATTACCCTGTAAGCTAAACTCCCAAGGTCTCATGAATCATTTATGACCTTTGTTACATTTTGTTCTTAATCAAAACTAAATTCTCAAACTGATTGGTTGTCACTAGTGTGATTTGGACAGTGTTGTAGGACAGTGTAATAAGACAGTGTAATGAGACATTGTAATAAGACAGTGTAATGAGACAGTGTAATAAGACAGTGTAATAGGACAGTTAGAGGGACATTTAACACATCATGCCTGTGTAAGCATTTTGCTAGGTAACTGTTTTTGTCTTTTTTATGAAAACATGTAACAAATGCTTGGTTTCTTTCTCAAATTTTTCCATAGTCTTATTAATTGGTAACAGGACTTTGTGTTGTCCCATTTGGTCTGTAATCAGACTTGTTATTAACAAATTGGACTCCTGCTTTGAGGTCCTCCGATTTTGTCAATCACTCATATGATTACAGACCGAATTGGACAACACAGACCACTCTGTCCTATTACCATTATTAGCCTTTTTGGAATACTTGTTATAATTATCCTCACATCTGGTTTTATATGCATTTCTCTGGCAGAAAAGTGACAATGCACTAACATCTACAGCAGCTTCTGAATGCCTTTCTCAGTTAAGCTCATTGCTGGGTCCTTCAATACTTAGAGGACGGATAGAAATGCACAACCCCAGGTAAAAGAGCTTGCTTTGTCACCTTGACCCTTTAACTTCCAGAAGTGATCAACATATAACTTCTTCCTATAATATCTATACACTATCCAGCAAACAGGTTGAGAGAATACTCAAACTCATCAGGTACAAGATATTACCTCAATTGAACACCTAATTCTCGTAACCAATTTACATGGAAATGTGTATCAGCTAGAGGGAAGAATTAATAATCAGATCAGGGGGTTAAAGTAAATTCCTCCATATTGTTCTTCATACATTTTCTATGGTTCTGATAAAGAGAGCTGGTTTAATAGTCAAGATATTTTTTGGACGAAAATAATTTATTGTATTTTCCCTAACCTTAATGTTTTATTCAGGGTTGATACTGTAAGGTGCAATTAAATGCTAGTCACCAAGATAAAAGGTTAAAAAATGAGGGAGGCATAAGCAAAACATGATAAAAACTTAGACCTTGATTTTCAAAGTGAAAGTTGGGGGATGCAAACTGTTGTCTGTTTTGGTGCTGTTGCCAGGAATCCATCATGTGACAGTGACCTTGCAAGAAATAAATAAATAAAAAAGACTATTGATTTAAGAGAATATGTAGTAGCCTGAGTAACATGTGCATGGTGAGAATGCAAGCAATGCGAATGAGTGAGCAAATATTGCATGAGTGACTTTTTGCTTGCTTGTGCTGGTTTATGTCACTTGCTGGCATTCGAATGTTATGCCTGTGATGCAGGCTAGAGAGTTAGACATAGATAGTGGTGTGTTGTAACAATTGTAAAAACATACTCAAGCGACAGTATTGCTAGAATACTAATTCAGTACCATGTGATTTGTTGACTACCACTTGCTTTACTCAGTGTAATATTCCTGGCCATTTCACTGATTATCTGTCTTCCTTGCATTTTCCCCCAGTTATCTTGATCTTTTGCCGCCAACTCCACCAGGACATGTGTGATTTACAAGGCTGGATCCAGCACACAACAATTCTTTTTGTTTCCAGGCTCCTTGCAATGCTTTTGCTGTGAATAAAGGAAGGGAAAAAGACAATAATTATTACCTCTGAATCATCAGATTATTATTCTTTTCCATCACATTAATATGGGAAAGAGAAAATGTTTCTCCATATTTCAGTAAGCTTGGTTGAATGACTTAGATAGTTACATCAATACCAAAGAGTCTATAAAAGAATCTGGTGTTGTTGTCTTAAGTCTTAAATTCTTATCATCAGTATGCATATTCTCCACACATTTCCAAAGGTGCTGACATGGAGAATTTGTTTAACAGATTTGTTCTTTATTTGGTGATCATTTTGTTTATTCTCCTTTTTGTGTGTGATTGAGGGGTGTTATTGTAAGGAGAAATTAGATGCTGGTCACGCTTAGGGGTCAAAGGGTTATAGATTGTTCAAATATCAGACTGATTATTTTATGTACCAGGTTTAACAGTGATAATATCAGGCTGATGTATTGTATGCAAGATTAAAATAATTCCATACAATAATATATTTTTATTCTCTGTTCAAAAGGGTCATTTCTTTCTCCTGCCAAGGACTGCATCTTTTTCATCTTTCCTCCCTAAAATGACCAGTTTCCAGAGAAGTGATTTTAGATAACTCCCTGTTTGATTTCAGTGCTTGACATCCTGTTCTTGTTTTCAACAACAAACTGATAGGGTTGTTATGACCTCTTTGTTTGATTCAGGGGTGATACTGTTGTGAGAAATAAAATACTTGTTGTTCTTTGCATCAAGGTTACTTCCCACCTACAGAAGCAGAAAAAAAAATTTTTTTTCTTTTTTTTTTTAATGAATTAAAGTCAGACATTTTGCGAACGTTTCCAAAGAAAGAATTAAAAGCTCGAAAATTGTCCGAGTTATTCAGAAAAACGTATTTCAAATAAAAGTTTTAAATAAATCAGGAAGTTGTCTTAATCTTGTAAATGGTGAATCTCCTGGGGGAATTTTGAGTGGGTAACAGCTTAAAAGGTGACAGAGTGAACCCTTAACGGATTTAAATTTTTTCTTCTCATATTTTTTCTGTAGGAAACCCATTTTTAACTGGCTTTAATATTTTGGCATGTTCTTCGCCCGCTAGCTCACTTTAGGGATAGCTGAGGATAATTTCCATGTATTTGCGCCTGCAAATATTAATATACACCCACGATCTGCGATTGGCCGGCAAAATTATCGTTTCCAGTTCCCTTTAATTGTTGAAAATTCAACATGGCGGCGGAATCGTTGTTGTTCTTTTGTGTACTCCAGTTATATTTAGCCGGTTTTTTTTCGTTATCACATGATCTGATCCATGAATATGACGAGATGATACGACATATTCCACTAGAACCATCGCATATCTTAAAAAGACGCTCTGTGGACCAGCCACTGCGAATTTCGCTGGATTTTCTCAACATCAGCAATTTAGAAAATCCCAGCATGGTGAAGGATATTTTACAACAAGCGCAAAGCTATTTTAGTAGAACGTTGAAAGTTCGAAAGACAACGACGAATATTCGTCTTCAAAGGAGTTGTCCTAACCAGCTTTTTTTCTCTAAAAACGCCGACGGAAGTGGACCAGGGAGGGTCAGATTTTGTCAAGAATCATGCAATTCTTCTCGAATATTATGCGGACCAATTGAAATTCCAGAACACGATTTGGATCAGTGTAGGGTTTGTGACAAGAATGGCCAGAACTGTCGCAACGACACAAGACCTGAATTCACTGCTGGAGAAGGACACAAGGACGCAGATTTTATTCTTTATGTTACAGCAGTTACTCATGGGAACTGTGTAAAAAGCTCAACGACTTTAGCGTATGGTGCGGCTTGTCAACAAGAAAGTGGACTGGATAGACCTGTAGCAGGATTTATCAACATATGCCCCAAAAGGGTGACTGCAAGTGAACTGAGAAGCAGCTACAGTGAGGTGAGAGAGAGCTCGTCAAAGGTTGCGATTTTGAATTGTCCCTTTCTAGAATGGCGTCTTATAAAATTTAAAACACCAAATTTTGAATTTCATAGTTTTTAGGGAGTTTATGCCATCACCAAGGTAAATACCCTTTAAAGCAATTTTCAATTGGGTGTCAACTGTCATTTGTCTCTACTTTAACTTTGCTCTGTGATTGGTCTAGAAAACTTGCTACACCCTCTCAACAATCAAATGGAATCCTATAGATGTAAATTTTAAAAAAAGTTTGACTCGTCTTTGACATTTCCCTGTATTTCGAGCAGTTTGTTTGTTTCCATTTTAAGTTCTCATAGGCCTGTGATAATGTAAACCTTTTTTTCTGATTGGATTATTTTTTTTTTAAAGATACTAAATTTGGTTGCAGTTTGTACCATAGTCTACTCTCTGACCATCATGCTCCAGAATTATTTTAACTAAATGTAGTCGTGCCAAATGTAGCCATGAGTTAGGGACTTGTCAGAAATTAGCAGGGGGGGAGGGGGGGTGGAAACAGAGGGGGGGTCACAACTTTTTGAGCCTCAGAAAAGGGAGGGGTCATGAAAAATGGGCAGTTAAAAGGGGAGGGTCATGCAAATATATGCCCGTGATCATGTAGAGGTTCACCCACAGAAGAAAAAGGAAGTTCTTTATTTGGCACAAAAACAAACAAACAATGCTCCCTCAGTGTGGAAGAGGTGGATGATCATGATGAATGTGAGGTAGATGAAGGGAATGAGGCATTACCCACTTGTTCTAGTGATGAAGACTTTGTATTGGGAGAAATAGGAGAGTCGAGTGATCAGTCGGACTCTTAATGCTGTCATCGAAAATGTATGTATGTAGCATGACAAAGAACAGATTAGAAATATATTTTGAGTTTTCATAATACTGACGCACCCTAGTGTATTGCAAGAACTAGATTTTTATCTAGAATCTTATTTAGTAAAAAAGATGTTCTGGCTGCAGTTTAATCATCAACAATAATCTTTCGGAAAAAAATAAACAAGAAACAGACAATCAGATTTTCTGATGCTATCTTTCATTAAAAGATAAAACGGTAAAAACGAACGATAGAATCCGACGTTTCGGAGTAGTCATGACTCCATTATCAAGGTAAAAATTCCCACCCCCCCCCCCTGCTAATTTCTGACAAGTCCCTTACTGTAAAAACTTGCGTATAAGCCACACTCGTGTATAAGCTGCACCCCCAACTCTCAAGCATGATTTTCGAAAAAAAAAAAAAAACTCCAGAAAAGCACTCTTGTTAAAAAAAGTTGGTTGTTTGTTTGCAGATGTTCCCGATAAACTTAATGAAATCTAATGTTGTGTATTTGCAGTGACATTAATACATTAATAAGTTACTCAACTCTGGAAAAACCCTTTTTAAAGCTCTTTTTAAATCGATTTCCGTATTTGCTGTGACTGACAACAGTTGTCTTCATTGCTAAAGCCCACAGCTTAAATTAAATTGGAATTTGAATGAAATTAAAGTGCAGAAGAACGATGCAAAACGTTTGCATGGCAACCATGTGGGAAGTCTGGACAGTAGAGACAAATAATGGTCTTGTTTATAGGCCCCACCCACAATTTTTGGCTCAAAACTTAAGCAAAGAGGTGTGGCTTATACACAAGTATTACAGTTTGTTTTCCAGCTGCAGTCTTTAGTTTTTGATCCACTGATAATCAAAGAAAACTTTATTCTTTAGGTTTTGGCAACTGTCAAACATGAAATATTCCATGCTCTTGGATTTGCACCATCATTGTATGCATTTTTCCGCAATCAAAGTGGTGAGCCGCTGACTGCTCGTCGCTCCAACGGACTTCCAAAAGAGTATGATGATGTCCTCAAACACTACAAGTGGAGTGAACAGGTCAGGCTTTTGACACATTACATTGAAGAGTTTCTACTTTTCTAGACTTAGGGATCATGTTTATCTACTTAACTTACAATGTAGTATATGGTTTGAACCCAGGGATAATGTGATCATGTAGCTTGTGATGGATTGTGGTCAGTAGTGGTGACTGATGTTTTGACAACCTGAGCGGAAGTGATCATTAGAATAAAGTTAAGAGATGTTAGTTAAGTGCAATGAGTGTGACTTGGGTAAATTGATTGTGCAGTTAAGTTGTTATGTTACTGGCTATAAGAGTAGTGAGTTGGTTGTGTTTGGTCAGTTTCAATCCATGTGTAATGTTTAGTGGTTTGTTGTAAATTTCATTACTGTAAAGTCATAAGTGTGTTGCTGGCAATTGTTGACTCCTGTTGAGGGGAGTCTGTTAACCACTGTTTAAATTGGTGATATGTAACACACCCCAATCAAATCCAGCTGACAGGATTCAGCTGCACAATCAAAGTTTTACAATGGTTATTTTGGGTTGGGTGAGTGAGACAGATGGGGCTGGAACTTAGGAATAATTTCACCATTACTGACCCCTTCCCACCCACTGCCATACCCAATAGATTTCAAGATGCAATGTGTAGCTGTTTACCTTATATACAGCCGTAGTAATTGTGTTATTATCCAACCTAAGTATTATGTGCATGTAAAGATTGATTGAATGCACAGTCAGCAGCACATGGTTACAGGCAATTTGTCCAACACTCGTGAGAAGGTGACTAAAAACTTTCCTTAATCCAATACTGGACTTAAATTTCTCATTTGTTTATTTATGTCAGTATTATTGTCTTCCTAAATCTTTGCAGTGCATCTTACTCGCTAGTCAAAAAATGATCAGCAACAAAATCAAGTGGATGCTGTGCAAACTCTTTTTTAGTATTTGTACATCGCTGACTTGTTTTGTCACTGATTTTTAGCTCCCCAATGGATATTAACATTGTAACTGTTAACACAAATAAAATCAATACTGATTGTTAAATCATGAAACTAACAATTAAAACATTCAGTCATATTTTAAACTGCACTTAACTACAGCAGAAAAAAAAATTTAAATAGATTAAGAGAGATGGTAAGTTTTGTGCTCAGTAAAAAAATAGAGAAAGATGTTTTTCTTTATGTCACAAGTTTGGGACAAAGAAAAAAATTTGAGTCTTCATGAGGAGTCAAACCTCAGACCTTCAGATTCTGTGCTCTGATGCTCAAACACTGAGCCATAGAGACTCTATGCTGAGTGCAACCTATGACAAAGTTCATATTACATGTGTCCTGCATACTGCTGGAATCATCAATGTTGATAGCATCATGTCTGTTTTCTCTACCAAAAGACATTTTTCTTAAAATTACTCTAACTCTGACAACTCAGGTTGGAGATGGGTGCTATAAGCAATCTCCCTAAACCTAGGGCTGATCACGTGACTGAGCGATCAAGACTGAATTTCTCCTTACAATATTGACACAACGTCAAGTAGAGGAGTGATGGGAATAAAGAAAAAAATCATAAGGGGATTATTAGTTGATCCAATAAAAAATTCTTCAAGCTAACATCATAAGACCTGTATGGCAGACAGTAAGGAAAATTACTAATGAGATCTTGATCTTGCACTATGTCAATAGTCTTGGAAGGTGGTTGTCATAAATGTAGGTGTTACATGGTAATGTTTCCCAGAGTGAAGGGGTTTTAAAAACACCTAATTTTGGATTTCATAGTTTTTAGGGAATTTTTGCCATCACAAAGATAAATACCCTTTAGAGGAATTTTCAGTCGAGTGTTAAATGTAATTTGATTTTACTTTTATTACGGTAACTTAGCTCTGTGATTATTCCAGAAAACTTGCCTCACCCCCTCAACAATGAAATGGAATATTAAAATCAATTTAGCTTGAATTTCCTTCCAGACTGTCAGGATGGTAACGAGAAACGACTGGTTAACAAGGTCTGGTACAATGCAACACAATGTTTATATGATGGTCACACCGAGGGTGAAAGAAGAAGCACAGAGGCATTTTAATTGCTCAACTTTAGAAGGAGCTGAGCTTGAAAACCAAGGAGGTGAAGGTACAGCATTAGCCCATTGGGAAAAGCGCTTGTTTGAAAACGAAGCCATGACGGGTGTTTTTACACAGAATACCGTGTTTAGTCGAGTGACTCTGGCGTTAATGGAAGATACCGGCTGGTACCTTGTCAACTATGAAATGGCCGATCCTTTACGCTGGGGAAGGAACTTGGGTTGTTTGTTTGCTAAAAACAGCTGCGCTGCTTGGATGAAAGCTCAGAAAACTGCTGGAAAGTCTATAGCTCCATTCTGTTCTAAAATCAAGAAACAGGGTGACTCACGGACTGGATGCTCCCTCGACAGAACATCTGTTGCCTCATGTAACTTAGTAGAATATAAACAAAATCTTCCTACTGAATTTCAGAATTTTTTGCCCGGTTTTATTCCGGGAATTTCCGAATCAGAAGACAGATATGGTGGGGCGGTACTTTTAGCTGATTATTGTCCATTTTACCAAAGTTTTACATGGACACAGAAAGGAGAAGAGGTCAGGACATCTTCTTGTAACTCACAACACAACGCTTTACCGTATGACCTGAATTATGCACTGGAATTCTACGGCATTAAATCACGGTGCTTTGAACAACGAACAAAGTGGATGAAAGAGAAATGTGGTACACGGTACACGGCTGTGAATCATGGAAGCGGATGCTATAAATTTCATTGTGAATCTGATGCACTGAGGGTCGAAATCGCTGGTGGCTTTAAATATCCATGTTTCCATGAAGGCCAGGTTTTGGATATTTCTGTGCAAGTCGACAGTTGGAGCTTTCAAGGAACCCTTGTTTGTCCATCATGCGAAGAAGTTTGTTCTGACAGTGGATTTATTTGCCCGGCAGAAATAAAACCTGCTCCAAAGAATTCACAACCAGTATCCAAAACATCACCAGTGACTTGTTCTGAATGTTCCATAGTAATACGACAAGTCTTACATACCCAGTTGCTTTTAATAATTGTGTACACGTTTTTTAGGTATGTTCTTGAAGCTTAGTTTTTTTTCTTGGATTTTCTTGGATTTGCTCCATTTTAGAGAAAAACATTTCCACTCTGACGGCTTTTTTTTTTCAAATTTTGAGTTGTAACTGTTGTTAACCGTGAAACCGTTGGCTTTATACCACTGATTCAATTGACTTTCCGTCATCAACGATTCATTCCTCTAATCCTGTAATGTGATTGGCCACTTTTATTTACTGCGCAAACTAATCGCACTGGCCAGTCAGATAAAAGGACGATGTAGTAAGGAGCCAATCAGAACTCACGATAAAAATAAGCAAACCGCCAGAAGCGCGGGAAAACACCAGCGACCAAGTTATGATTGGTTGTAGTTGTACATTCACAGGAACTATTCTAGAGGGTTGCGTCACTTTTAAACTCCAACCAACCAACCACAGAGCAAACTAGAAAAAACACCATCGCAAGTTCCACTGAATGACACTACAATAGTCGCACCGTAAGAGTCTGAAAGAGATAGGGAAAAAACAGTTTTCCGATAGTGGTACAGGCCACAACGACGTACGCGCGTAGAAATTAATTACATGTACCATTCACTTATGCCAGTAGCTTTTTTTGAACCGTTAAAGTGTATCTCAACTTAATATAGTATAGGAGTAATTTATTCCTCAAAAAGGAAACTAGTAAAATATCATTTACTACCTTTAATTTTAGAATTATCAGGTTATTTTGAATATCACGTTCTGAGTTACTTTTGCAAGCAAGAATTTTTATAAACGTAATTTATTCTTCGGAATAATTATTTTAAATTGGCAAATACTGAATGATTTGTATTGCAATGTATATAGCAAATTATTTAAAATTTTACTATTTTACTTGAATCCACGAGCACCTTTGTTTTATTTGCGCATGAGCCTGCAAGCTCGAAAAGTGCTCCGCATGAAAAAATAAGTAAATGAATACTGTTAAATAAAAATTCGATCAACAAAACCAATTATGCTCTTGCTGTTGAAATAGGAAGGTTTGGATGGGTGTGATGAGTCACTAAGGACCTTAAGCAAACCACGACGGCGACGGAAACGAGGACGTGGAAAAACAAAAGATCTAATTGGCAGAACAATAGCTCAGCACGTGCATTCTAAAACTTTGTACATTTCTTAGCCGTCCTATGCAAAACAACGTGAAATCACCACAATTTGCGTCGCCTGCGAACCGAAACCGCGACGGCAAATTATTTTAATTTTCATTTAGAACTCAACGCTTCTATTAAACGTTTTGCTGAAGTTGAGGTGTGGCTCCGTATGGGACGGTAAACAAATGCAGCTATTTTTGAAATTCTAATTAAAGGTAGAAATTCATATTTCAATCGAAGTCTTCCTTGGCGTTGCCGTCCTGACTGCTTAAGGTCCCTAATGAGTAACTGAAAAGAGAATTCATTGTGTAATCTCAACATTTCATAGCAATAGAGACGATAATGATAATGAAAATGATGACAATGAAATGATGGTTGACGATGGAAATGAGTATAATGCTATTAATAATAATAATAATAATAATAATAATAATAATAATAATGATATTAATGACGATAATAATAATGGTAATGATGCTAATATTTCCAAGTAATAGTTATTTCCATCAATAACGATAATAGTAGTCCCTGACACCAAAGCGATTTATTCCTGAGACCAGTGATACAAAAACCTCCGGAACCAGAAATTGATAGGGTAGGTTGACACGAATAAAAAGAAACGAAGAAAAATTTTCCGAGTAGGGGAGATCGTTTCCTTGTTGCGCAGAAGGGCCCTAAACAGACGGACGTTTGGATTGAAGTACAGCAGCACAGCCGAGAGGAGAACGGGTTGGACTCTCAACCCAGAGGTCCCGGGTTCGAGTCTCGACACAGTCGGCTGGATTAGTTGCTCGTTATTACAGCTCAACCCCTGGAACGCGTTTGTAAATGGCGAACTGGTTTGCCTCTTGATTTGTTGGTGTTCTACATCATGTTACATTTGATCTGTATTACTAATATACAATTCTTGGCGTGTTTATAATCATCGGACAACTGTGAAAACCAGTGGGTCACCAGAAATTTTGACATCCTCGGAAGTAATTTTTTATTTAATCTTTTCTCAACACGTTTTTAGTTGAAGGGAAAGTTCATGGGGTACATGGGTAAAAAAAAAATCAAAATTGATTAAACATGTGTTGTTATCCTTATCACATCTAAGACTTCAATTAATGCAGTTTTATCCTTTAAGCCAATTGTGAATGATTCGCTTATCTGCCCGAGTAACCTCTCATCGACTCTTATCAGTTGCCTGCGCAGACGATTGTCAGTAACAGTCGTGGAACTCTTGCCTTTCAACCTTTAAAGCTTTAAGATTGACAAGCACCTAATTTCTCCAGACACTATTACAGCGGAATCACTCGTTACAGTCTTGAGAATAAAGGAAATTATCGCTTCAAGTAGTTTAGACGCTCGGTATTGTTTATCAAATCCGCCATGTCAATACAATAGGATAGGGAACAGCATGGAGGAAAGATCCCATCGTGTTTTCACAAAAGCTGCAATCTGACTGGCTCTGCAACTCGCTGTTTATTCCCTGATAGATAGTGAGTATTAGTGAAGAGCCTAAGAGTGTGCGCTGTAAACAAAATATTTTTAAAAAAACTGAGCCTATGGTTTTTTTTTTTCATGTCGAACAACTAATAGATTTATACTAAAACGATTAGATCATTCATTCACGATCTCTTTCGTGATAGTCGCGCTCACCAACCCTCACGCGATAGAAATCCGGTGATCAAGCTAGCCGTTGGTTGGAATTCAATGAAATGTCCTTGGTGAGTCAGTATGCATTAACATTACGTGTCTTTTCTTGGTAATGCTGTGACACCTGAATGAAAATCGCAAAAACTTGAGGAATTCCCATCACAATTTACAGTAATTTGGAATTGGCACCACAAAAATAATTTTTCCCAAAGGAACAAACAAAATTGCGAATTTGCGAAAGTAAAAAAAAAAAAAAAGGAAAAAAAATCCCCAAATTTTTCATGCTACACTGGTACTCGATTAAAGCATAATAAGCTGATTAATATGAAGTGCCCGGTAAAACAGAATTTCAACGGGTGCAGCCATTGAACGCCTAACTGTTTGGCCTTATTTACCGGAAGATCATTCGTCGCCAAGAGAATGTAAAAGGGAGACTAAAACTGACTGCCGAATGAAGGAGGGGGGGGGGGGTGGGGGAATCATAAGAATATTACAGAGCTTTATGGGGGATCGGGTAAATTGTATCGTGACGCAACCAAATTCATTCGACTCCTTCCCGGTCCCCACCCCCCAGGCGATAAATAATGAGCATCCTTTAGGGATCCCTCCTTGCGATTGATGTAAGTCATGTCATGGCGGGAAATGAAGAGTAGTTAAACACACTTTTCTTGTGGTACTTTAGTCAAATCGCTTGAATTGCCGTCTAATAATTTTTTTTTGTGGGAAAATTTTATTCTGAAATTTTTAAACTCAAATTTTATTAAATAGATCTATGAAAAATCACGCGTAATAACTTGTAGCATGTTGGGTGAATATTTTTGACTATCAGCACACTTCACCATTTGAACTTTCAGCAAAAAGAGTCAACATACTCTTGTGAAAATTCAATTAACCAACTCAATGTACAACAAATCTCAATTTGATAGGATTCCATGTGTCCCGTGTCAGATGAAATGGTAACTTCTCGTCCGGGTCAAATAGCTTTGCATGACCAAAGCACTTGGGCGATAAACGCATTTAAAGATTATATTAACACGGATAATTTACGGTCTAATTGAGACGCACGATATTTTGTAATTGAGCTTTTATTTACGTTATGACGTATTTTAGATTCCAAAACATTGAATGGTTTATAGCGTAAGTTTGCTCTGAGTAAGGTAAAGTAAACTTGCCGTTTCGCTTCAGATTAAGGTGGGGACTAGGGACGAGACTGCGAGATGCAGCAGGTTGTTAGAACTGGGATAACATAAGAGGTTCTCGCCTAAGTAGTGTCTAAGAAGGATTTAGACAACCAGGTTCTAGAAAAGGTGAATAACCATCCATAGTCGCATTCAGGAAATACCTAAAATTGGTCAGGGTTTGGGTTATCTAACAATTATTCTTAACTAAATTAAATTACGAATTCGTACATAGTTTAAACAATTAAGCAGTCTCAAGTATTTGATTATCTAGCCGTTAATATTTTTTTCAACCTGAGGCTTTAAGAAAAAAATGTTAATTTTGCTCTGATCTTTATGTTTTTAATGAGAGGAAACGTATAGACGAGAGACGTCCATGTCTTGGCTGCACAGAATGAGATTTAAATAATGTTCTAGAATATAGGCGGTTGTAATATATTAGAGGTAAATCACGAAACTTCAATTAAATGAAGATTTAGCTTCTGGTCTTAAATTTCTTGGGAAATTTTAAATCAGTCAACTTGACAGTTCTTTTGCGTTGATTGAGGCCTAGGAAAGTCTTTGTTTTGTTAGGATCTTCATCAGTTTTTAGACGTATCAATTGATCATTTATAATCACACAGGGTTATTTAGAGGTCTCAAGTGAGGTCGAAGCCCGAAATAACTAGCATTTTGTAGCATAAGGCATTTAATTTATAGACAAATTTGCTTGTTAGAACTGTAGAAGTGGTTGGATCTACAGTGACTGACCTTGGTGAAGAAATCTTATAAATTTGAATCAGTCCAGCTAGCAGTTTGACGTAATTAGATTCAGTTCTACTGTCAAGCAAGGTAAATATTTGCATTTGTTCATTTACTTACTAACTTAATTTTATATTTGTATGTCAGCTATCACTCTTCAGTGGATTTTAAACAAGGTTAGATGATATGGAAACAAGTAAAAACAAAGAAAAAAAAGACAGTATATTAAAAAAGAATTGCGGACATGCGAATGAGACTGAGTCTTAACTGAATGTTAATGGCCTTAGAATCTATCTAGGCTGACGCATACTGATAATTGGTTTTACCCATGACATTCCCGGTCTTGAAAAGTTGATACTTATGACAACACGACAATGAGCATTTAATTAGATTGAAACGGCGCCTTACTGATTGGGAGTGATAAAAACAGCCTTCAGTTTCGCGAACTTCTCTTAACAAATCCTCCAACGATGGTTTACATTTCTCTGGCGCGCGAGGAAAAATGCGTTCAGAATTTGACGAGGGTTTCGATAACTCTTGAGCGGCCAATAAACAACAAGCAAATTACTCCTTTCCAAATTAGCCACGGTCATGCATCGTGTATCTGCCTTGATCAACTTATCATGGTTGTTAATCAACAAAGTCCCGCGACTGAGCACAACAATTTTTCCATAGGCTAATAAATTTGCTCGTTTTCTTTTGATAACAGTACAGTCGCTTTATGTGATGTGGAAGCCTCTTCTGATCTAAAAATAATTGATATTAGTGATAAGAAGCTGATAGAGTGGGAGTGGGTATATATCTCGTAACCGGAAGAGGTGGTCAAGATGTTGGAGATAGTCTCACGATGAACTAATTAGCCTCTAATGATCTCATAATTTCGTTTATTTCTCCTCCTATTTTATTCTGATCATAATACTATGTTAATATTTTCGATGAATTTAGATGCTTCTCAATAGTTTCTCTAATAGTTAGTTAGTTTTTTTTTTTTTTTTGGGCAACACTTATTACCCATAACTCCCCTGTGCCTTCTTAAGCCATTACGTCAGCGGTATGTTAGGCTTGGCTTTCCCACAATTCCATTGGCGGTGATCTACCATATTTCCGATTTTCTTCGAAAGCATATGAGGCATTGTTTTTGCGTAGAATCATCGATCGAAGATTGGTCAAAGCTGCGGACTTTAGCCGGTGTATGAGATCTCTTAAAAGCCAGTATTTCCAAACGAAGACTAGCCTTCAGGAAATTGGACCGACGGTGTAACACTTAAAGGATTTTGGGTCGTCACGACTGTGAGACTTCACCATGTCCGTAGAACACAGAAGCGGTGTATAATCAAGTGAGAATATGCGGTAGTCT